ATTTTTTTCATGACTGTATGTAATAAATCTGTCTGTCTGTCTTACCAGGACTGTTCCTACAATGTTCAGTTTTCCTCTTAGCTTCATCTTAGAGAGCAGGATGAGAAGTCAGTTGATCTGCAGACATGATTTTACTGAGATGTTGGAGGAGCTGAAACCTGCAGGTCAACATCTGAGGAGACAAAACAAACAAACTCACAGCTTCTACACAAACTGACTGATGATTTATTAGAGGCTCAGATAGAGTTTAGAGCTGGACTCTGTCACTGATGCTGGAAACCTGACCTGTGGAATCAGRTCCTGCTTCACATCAGACGATCAGCTTCATGTCATTTATTTTTTATTCAAACAATGAAAAAATAAAGTCTGTGTTTCGACAGTCCAACTGTCTCCTCTCATTAGTTGAACATTTTCATTAAAACGGTTGAGCTTGAAATGACTTATGACCTTAAAACAGAAGCTGGTGTTTAAATTAGAAACAGATTAAAGTTTGTTCCTGTTTGCAGTAAATAATGACGAACTGAGTTTTTTTTTTTAGGTTACTGAACTTGTGATTTATTTCAAGCAGAAGATCATATCCTCAGTAAACTGTGTCACATTTTTTCTTTATGTTCATGCTTTCAGTTATCAAGCTCCTCTCTTGTGGAACCAACTTCCAGTTTCTGTCTGTGAGGCTGACACTCTGTCTACTTTTGATTAGACTGAAGACTTTCCTTTTTGATAAATCTTATAGTTAGACTTAGGTTTCCTGTATTATTCTTCATTTCTGCTGCTATTAGGGCTGTGACGATTAGTTGATGACTAATCGATTATTAAAATAGTCGATGACTAATTTAATATTCAGTCTTTTTTTTGTTCTTTATTTTGTTTTTCTCTCCAAACTGCTTTGACACCTTCCACGGCCACATCTGCCTTTCTGTCCTTGACACACATGCACAGTAGTGGTAACTGGGGTAGGCCGTTATACAGACAGGCTCGGGTATCATGGCTACCTGGCAATGGAGCTCACAAGTGTGGGATCATTTTAAGAAAATGAAAGAGAAACCTGTGCAATGCAATATCTGCAAGACACAACCTGCCGTCCACAGAAGCATGCGGGGATCATTATGTTACTGCTATGCTGTATCTAGTTTTTAGTTAGCATATAGCTAAAATCTAACCATGATTATATAATAGCAGATGCATTCTGGGGAGATAAGCTGTGTGTTTATATTCAATTAACGTATGATCTGATTAGTCGACTAATCAAAAACATAATCTGTGATTAGTCGACTATAAAAATAATCGTTTGTGACAGCCCTAGCAGCTATAGACTTAGACTGCTGGAGCACAAACTGTCCACATTTCCTCACTCTGTTGTTGTCTTAAGTCTCTCTTTTCTACATGTTTATTGTAATTATTTCTATCATTAACGTGTTATTTTTTTTCTTTTTGTCTCTTTTTCAGAAGAAGGTGCACCTGGACCAGTCCTGGACCAGTCCTGGACCAGTCCTGGACCAGTCCTGGACCAGTTCTTCTGTGTTTGTCTGTGTCTCTTTCCTGTCCCTCAACCAGCCGGTCGAGGCAGATGGCCGCCTGTCCTGAGCCTGGTTCTGCTGGAGGTTTCTTCCTGATTAGCAGGGAGTTTTTCCTCTCCACCGTTTGCGCAGGATATGAGACTGTGATGAAGTGATTCAACACAATCTGCTGGTTTCTTCTTTACATTGTTCTTTTTATGTACAGTGCCCTGAGACAACGTATGTTGTGTCTTGGCGCTATGTAAATAAACTGAATGGAATTGAATGTTTTAACTGTTTAAAAAATGAAACACATAAAAAACTCCCTTTTAAAAGTAAACTTTCAGCAGAACCAGAACCAGACTCATGCAGTCCTCTGCCTGCAGGCTGGAGTTAGCTGAGACTCAAACATGAACTGAAACACTGATAAACTGCAGATAATTCTGGTTACAGTATCAGTCCACTGCTACAGGACTGTACCTGAACTCAACAGTCATATACCTGCAGTACACACCTGACCTCAGTTTGTATTTGTATAGAAGGTGTGTTGTGTCATTACATGCACACACAATGACATTTATCTTCTATATCTAAGCCATCCCACCTGGTTTACACACCTGTGCAGCAGACAGAAGCAGACGAGGAGCAGTCAGGATTAAAAC